ATACTTTTGGAGTGCTGTTAAAAAGGCATTGCGCCCCATGAACAATCAAGATGTTATTACACCTGGAGAAGAGTTTTCATATTTGAAAGAACTACTAAATCCTGCCTTGGGACGAGAAGAAACAGAATTGGATTATACAGTTAATTTATTCAAAGACAAAACCATTCTTGTGACATGTGTACTGCTGCTCCCTGGACTAATGGGGTGCTCTGTCAAAATATCACTGAAAAAGAAATAAAGGCAGACATTATAATCGTTTTCTTATTATTAGCAAAAGGTCAGATGTTACACATGTTATACATAAATACACATCGAGGCGAGGTGTTACACTACTTCCATATGATTCCAAATATATCCATTTCACATACAGATGTAAAATATTATCCACGGTTGTGAAAGTAACATCCTCACATTTGCTTTACATACCATAATGACAAATTAAAGCAAATATAGGATATAAGTACTAGACGTGAAGGTGTGAGAATAGGAAGAGAAAAGACGGGAGAAAGAGTAGATGGCATGGGAGGGAAGAAGACGGGGAAGAGGGCTAGTCGGTGGCTGCCTGTTTAAATTTGTTAAGCTATAAGTATCGACATCAATGTTGACCATTTGTTTTAAAGTGGTATTCGCAGAGCCGTAAATATATTTTTCAATGTTATAAAATTGCTTGATATTTTTAGTGTAAAATTGAAAATTGTATCATATTATAAATATTTTGGCATCATGTTCTCATCCAGGTTGATTTGGTCAGAAACGTGCAGTACTCTAAGACCGTTTTCCACGTATACAGACAGTGTCATAACAACACGTTCTTGTCTTTTTGGACAGCATGTGAAATCTTCGATATCAAAATTGCACCTATTTTGCTGCATGCATCGGAAATATTGGATCTTAAATAGCATGAATGTATGGAAAAGGTGCAAACATCTTATTTCAAAAGTTCCTGTGTGTTGGGAAATAAGCATAACATGAGGCAATATTAGGTGAAATTGGGAGTTCCAGCTTGCTTGTGATACGTACACTCAGGTGCAAAAGAAATGTCCCCAAAATTTAATTTATATTATATTTGCTGGATATGGCCAGTTCGGAACACATTGCCTAAACACACAAATGTATCACAGCCCAAGGAAATGCACGTGTTGCATACCAGAAGTGGGAAAAATGACTTTATGCAGTGAAATTTCCTGCGTGTATGGATATATGGAACACGTTGGAAACTGTTCTTTGCAATCAAACCATCATCTGAAAAACCAGTAGAACATGCCTCGGTTAACAGCAGAAAATAAAGAAAGACCGGTTGGAATGCTGCAGCTGGGGGCAACGCACGACCATGTTGGAAGAATCCTGGTTGATAGATTACAAAAAGAACGATTGGGACATTGGTCACACGTTACACACAAACCGGCCGGCCAGCAGACAGGCCGAGGAGCGGTCGACCGTAAGTCACTACCCCACAAGAGGACCGTTATATACGGACGCTTCATTTAATCAACAGATTCCTCGCCGTGATGTCATCATCAGTGCCTAGCCTTGGTCATCGCGTCAGCAGGTGGACAGTATCCAGACGACAATGTCAACATGGAAATCGGAGTCTATAGACCGTTGAGGGGCACGACGTTACCGCCGGAATATCGACGACTGAGACTGGTTTTTGGCCAGGAATGTTCGTCAGTGGCAGCAACGGAACCTGCAACGGGTTCTTTTCAGCGCCGAGAGTAAGTTCCATTTGAACATAACTGACGACCGAAGACGTGCCTACCACCGGCGTGGGGAACGGACCGTTCCGTTCAGGAAACGGAACCATATGGTAGAGGGAGTGTGATGGTTTGGGGTGGCATGTGGGAACACCAAGACCGACCTTGATATCACCAATGGCAGCCTGACACCCCGGTATATTGATAAAGTTCTGGGGCCCCATATCCTGCCTTTCCTCCAGCAATATCAAGGAACCTTGTTTCAACAAGACAACAGAACACCTCACACCGCTTATGTCACAACAGCCTTTCTCAACGTCAACAACGTTCCCGTACAGCCTTGGCAACGAGTGAGTGAGTGAGTTAAAATTTAACGTCACATCGGCAATATCTCAGCCATATCGTGACGAGAACAATTAATTTTATACATAATAAGCAAGGGCAAACTATAAAAACCTGTCAACGAAGGACAGTAAAATAACTAGATTATCACAGATTCGAATTCTTGGCAACGAAGATCCCCTGACATGTCTCCGACAGAGCACTTGTGGGGCCATCTTGGACGTCGGATTCTACAGCTTCCACACCCTCCATTGACGAGAAATGCACTTGCTCAGGCATTACAGACAGAACTGCGTCGGATCCACAGTCACGCGATCAGGGGACTTACACACTCGGCCCGACGACGTGTTCTGACGTGCACCGATGTAAGGGGTGGACATGCGCGGTATTGACGATCTGCCTTCCCATGTCAACCTCTGTTTTTGTCATTTGTTCTTTTGGCTTGGGCTCGAATAGTGACATCCCCATAGCAGACTCAGGTATCCACGTTATATTGTGACAAAGATGTAGTACTATACGGCATTGTGTATCAACGATATGGCTGGGGAACAATGGCCACTCTCTACTAAGCCAACTTAGAATTTGCAATTGAGTTTTCTGGGGTAAAGAACACACTGTACATTAAAATATCTGCAGTTTGGTATTTTTATACTTTCACTGGGAAATAGATTTTAAAAAAACCCAACAGTTCAAGCAGAACGGTGAACAATGAGCCTGTTTTCTATTTCTAAATGTTTCTCACGCAACCAGGAGTCAGTGGGTACCCAGTGAGGACAGAAGATTTTGGGAGAATATCATCAATGGGAATAGGTGAAAGACATCATTAGCAATGCTGACTGTGTTTTCTCCAAGGATGTGACCTAGTCTTTCGCACCAATGGCAAGAACGACAGGGACCATCACACTGGAGCGAATGGTGAGGTCTTTCTTCAGTGAGTGGAGAATACATTGGTCATCGCTTTGCTTGCAATCCACCCATTGTCTTGGACAATGCATCACAGTCATGCAGGGTCCAAACAGCAGGATCCAAGCAGCAATATTCAAACAGCAGAATCCAAGCAGCAGGATCAAAACAGCAGGATCCAAGCAGCAGGATCCAAACAGAAGGATCCAAGCAGCAAGGCCCTGACACTTAATAGCCTAATCGGAGTTATGGTGACGTGGTTGTGACAGATGAAAATGGCTTTTTCTTCCAGGGCTCCTCAATGACGTCATCAATCTGAGCCAGTGCATATGGTTGACAATTTCATCAAATGTCAATGTCAGTGTACTTCCCCCATACCACTGTGATCTGAAACCGATATATGTTGATATAGGGTGTCGTTAAAGGTGACATTGGATGGCTTTTCACTTTAAATTAATATTTGAGATCACGTCGGCAATGTCTCAGCCATACCGTGACGAAATCAATTCATACAATAAAGATGAAGACATGTTGAAGAGTACAACCTGTCAATAACAGACAATAAAAAAAACTAGGATATCACAGATTTAAATCTGGTAGTTAAAATTATATCTGTGATATCCTAGTTGTTTTTACTGTGGACAAAACAATATAAAAAAAGGTTAAAGATTACCAACAACTGAAGGTAGATCAACCATACTAGGGACCATGGGGACTTAGAGGTTACACACCACCAAATGTTGTCCCATAGACTTCTATAGTAACCTTATAATTTTTTTTAAAAATAGGCTATCAACAGCCAATCCACATACACATGGGTACACTCTGGCCTTTAAACTACCATAAAACACAATATATGGCCAACTTGTCCGTCTCGTTTTGCGAGCACAGGAAGCGGAACACATCAACCCCAGTTCCGCACCAAATGTCACCCACTGGAAAATATCTGTACACACAATAAGCATAAGTGATGGTGATAAAAATGACATAACTAAATACTGTGGTCAGTTTTAATTACTTGTTGGATGTGCATTTAAAAAACAAACATCTTACACTATTTCATCCAATCACAGCTGTCACATGTCTCTGTCTCTCTTGACTTGTTTACATACTCAGCGAGCAAGCGATACTGATTTAGTGTAGTGGAACCTATAGTGCTTTTGCTTCCTGCATGGACCCTAGCTGGATTTACACCATCCCCTCATTTGTTAGCATTTTAGACGATTCTAGCCATAAATAAAAGAACACATATTTTGCGATTAAAAACGTGGTAAAATTAGATTTACTTCAAATGTTTTTGGACTCACGCATCCTGTCAGGAGAACAATTATGTTCACAACGTGTTATTACGAGATATTCAAGAGCTAGTAAATGCTTCCCCTGGTCGGGTATCAGTGGAGACCTGGCAGCGTTGTGTTACTAATATCAAAAACAAGATAGAATCGTGATACTGTTAACAATTTAGATGGACTTCAGCAAGCAGCAGTCCTACCCGTAGTTGTGATCATGTGGTTATCAGCTGTGTCACAAGCAATTCCCACAGCAAGACTTACGCATAATGTATAAAGACTCCATTTTTGCTGTCATCCCGTCTACAGTTATGTAGCACGTGCTGATCCCCCTACCTACCCTTCACCCCCAACCCCACCCCACACCACCCCACCTACCCCACACCACCCCCAGTCTACTAAGGACATCAAATGTACAGATATCAAAATGTTAGTTCCTTCGACAACGTTTTTCCTTGATGAGTATACAAATAACAAGTAGGAGATATTGTTGGGACAATGCATTTATTGCATTAAAGATGTATTCATCTAGTCCGTCATGGGGACAACAGTCTGACTCAACTCTTTATGTATGGACGAACTTACCCTGTGTTTCATTGTGCTGGTTATGTTAGTCAGGCTATTGGATTGTCATTAAAATTATAGGACGAACCATTTTAGTCTTTCATACCTCACTATTTGACACGCTGTGATATAAATGCTCATTAATAAGTTTTCAAAACAGCATTAAATCCAATCCGGTCATTCTTCTCTCAACCACCATACCTCAGTCAGTGAATTCAGGGTGTGGACCTTTCTTGTTAGTCAATGCATGCTGGCCATAGTACAGTGATAATTACCAATGAAGAAGCAAACCATTGGAGTATAGATCAAAGTGCCATATCGGTTGTTAAGAACACATTGCCTGTCAAAGCCAGCGTTTCATGACGACCGCACAAAAACAAGCATCAGACTTGACATAATATCAAACTACATTTAATGTTGATACGGCTGACCTACTTTGTCTTATACAATTGTGACCTGAAAATCTTGTCTGGCTGCACGTTGACCATCGATTTCCCAGAAATGGGGTGTTACGTTAGTAATCACGTAACGTGTACTGGACTGTGAATTCTAGTCGCCTCTTTTATATAGCACATTTCATTCTGGCTGGGCACAGAGGACCAGAGGGGCTGATTGACAAACACCGTCTGTCATTATTCTGGCGGGACACAGAGGACCAGAGGGGCTGATCGACAAACACCGTCTGTCATAAAACTGGCTGGGCACAGAGGACCGGAAGGGCTGATTGACAAACACCGTCTGTCATTATTCTGGCTGGACACAGAGGACCAGAGGGGCTGATCGACAAACACCGTCGGTCATTATTCTGGCTGGACACAGAGGACCAGAGGGGCTGATCGACAAACACCGTCGGTCATTATTCTGGCTGGGCACAGAGGACCAGAGGGGCTGATCGACAAACACCGTCGGTCATTATTCTGGCTGGACACAGAGGACCAGAGGGGCTGATCGACAAACACCGTCTGTCATTATTCAGGAGAAAGTAATCTACCTGAGGACGACTTTAACAGATCCGACCTGCAAGCACACGACAGACATAGATCAGGTAGAACCCAGTTGAATTATTCTTTTCTCATTTATTTTCGTTAACTGGTCAAGTTAAAGTCCATGTGAACAGTGAGGTCAGATCGTCATATGGTTTGGGCAATTCACTCTGTGTATGGATCCGGTATGAACTATATGTTGTAAATAGAGGGTCATTGTACGGAATCACTCACAGGCTGTACACATCCTCTTACCCCCGGTTCCCTTAATAGAAAAACATGTAAACAAGCTCATTTGTTGATACATCGCTTAAACTGGGTTTACTGTAAAGCGACACCACCTTACATATGCCCACTCAGCTTACATGTCGAGTTCACTATGAACCAACACGCGACGATCAGCGCACATGAAGGCTGGCGCATTGCATAACATGTTTCTGAACAGTATAGCTATGGTGGCTACATGGGTCTTCTGCCATTCTCGGGAGTATCTATCTGCGGGTAATGTGTTTACAGTGATATATTATCCTGCCTAAGTTTAGTTATAGTAATATCTCCAGTAAACTTTTACACTGTCACTGTACATAACACATAAACTGTAAACTAGATATATGAACACGAACATAGGAATATTTATTGAAAGGTGAAGATCGTCCATTTTGTGCTCCTTGTATTATAAGAATCAGAGTCAAACCTGTATTGTATTAATCAATATGTCAGAACTTCGACATTGGAGGAACTAAAAAATCAGCTCTTTTACCATTCTTGATTTTTAAAAGCGATTAAATTGATAATAATTATTTTTAATGTAAACAGTAATATTTTATAATTGGTAGTTCTTTTAAATAATTTAGATTGTAAGTGGCTATACTCTCCTGGTTATTGGATGGAGGAGGATGTTGAGGTAACGTGAAAGCATATCCCCTAAGAAGGTATGTAAGTTCCAACATATACGAAGTATTTATGCGCATGCCATACTTGATAATTGATAAACTCAACAATAGTCGCCAGTGACTAAATGGGTGGTCTAAGCCCAGCTAGGGTCCATGCCTGTAGCAAAAGTACTGTAAGTCCCCATGGTCCCTCTTGTATGGTGATCTACCTTTAGTTACTGGCCATTTCCATATCGTCTTGTTGATATGTGATGTATTCCTTTAAATGTTATCAGCTCGTTTTAAACTGAATCTATGATATTCTATTTATCGCACTGCCCGTCGATGACAGGCGTCTTATTGAAGCTGGTATATATATTCAAATATTCAATCATTCCATGATATTCTGGCAGTGCATTTTGTAGATAAACGAAGCATGACCTGACGAGGTCTCACTGTATGTAACGTACATGTGTGTGTGTGTGCACGCACATGTTTCTGTGTGCCTGCGTGTGTGAGTGTGTGTGACAACAGCCTCTTCCAACACGAAGCCATAAACTAATAAAATTGTTCTCTTCGATAATATCAAGAGCATTCACATCTGTAGAGTTGCTATCATCTGTGTTCCGCTTCTCACACTGACACCGTTTGTGTTTTGTTGTCATCACTCGGTCCTTCCTACCACGCACGCCATGGTCACACGCTCTCACACAACTGATTAACCTTCAAAACAGATTTAACGAATCCCTTATCTTCCTACATCTTACCCTACAGATCAGTTACATAACTCTATTTGCCTCTTCCTGGGAACATATTGCGTACCAATCATGCATCTATAGCAAGAAAATACCCTTGAATTAGCCTACTGATTGTCAGCGTGCTGTCAATGTCAGACTGACACTCAATCGTTGACCTACTTTTCCTGTATGAAGACCTGTTTGTTACCACGTGACATCTATTAAGACTTGAAGGCGTGTCCATGTTTCATTTGTGCAGGTAGTGTATCTGTCTTGCTTCTGCGCTGACAATCACTTTCTGACAGTGACTAGAAGTGATTTTATGCAAGTGGACCTGAACGTAAATCACGTAGGGCTTGTGTAAATCTATTTCTTACCTTCATTACATTTTGTGTACGTAGATAAATGCAAAAATGCATACGTATAAAATACATCGAGCACGAAAGGAAGAAATCAGTTCACTCCATCGCGTGTGTCAGTAGATGTTGCCCGTCAGCCCTGTCCCCTTTAAGTGTCAGTCAATCAATCTGTGGTAGAGGTTTTGTCAATATGAGATTAGATTGTAATCACTTGTCATGACTCGTTTGGCTTGCTGTTTAACACTGCGCTCAAAATATTCCAGCTAAATGGCGGCGGTTTGTAAATAATCGAGTCTGGACCTGACAATCCAGTGATCAACATCATGAGCATTGATCTACGATATTGGGATACGATGACCACCTCTTACGACAAGCCTTGGTTCCTGAAGACCAATTCTAACCCGGATTGTCACGGCTATCATGACTCAGCCACCTCCATAATATTTTTTTCCGTCATGGTCTGATCAGTCTTGTGTCTTTTGCAAAGTATTTGTTTGTCAAATACAGAAATGTATGCCACCATATATCTATCAACAGATGTATCGCATAACTCGACTTGATTTGATTTTACAAACACATCATGCAAAGGTTAGTAGGATTGTCGTCAGACTGTATTCCAGTAATCGTGCATTTCCGATCAGCCGCCGACGGTGATCTGTGAAAAGGAATCTCTAGTCAGGTGTGGTATTGCACAAAACGTTCCAAGATAAGTCGTCTGACTGCCTTCCATCAGCGCATTATTATTATTATTATTATTATTATTATTATCAGCGCATATCATGCATGGTGGGACACAGAACATAGCCCAGTTTACCTATAAACAAGGTAACTTTAGTGAGGTGGGATATACCTTGTTGTTAATTACAGTATCATATTTTCAACATTTTATGTTTACACGCTCATATTGTGAATTTACGTGTTTGACATGTTGTGTGTCTCATGTCTGACGTCCTACTGCTGTTTCACCATTGAACATATTTGAAACTGCTTCTCAGGTGTTGAGCATCTAAAATGCTGTAGCACCATCATCACCTTTTGCCCCGATTGTTTGTGCTGAATGAAACTTTGATCTGTCTTTAAATAGCACAGGATTATGCTTCTGTGAAGTTTTAATGGCGTGGCTTTGATTCATCCCCAAAGGACAAACACAGTAAAGATGGAAGATAGCACAATGTACAGTGTTATATGTGCCACTTTTCCTTCCCAGAAAGAACCACAGACGTCATCACAGGTTGGACATGTCCCACGCCATTATCCTGCAGAAGAATCATGTGTTTCTGAAGGAGGAACTTCAGGTCGACCATGTGCTGAGTGCCTTGTATCAGAAATGCATCTTCACATGGGAGGACTATGAAAGGTGTCAACACTCTGGACGAGAGAAATGCCAGGTGTTCCTTGAAACTCTGAGGAAAAAAGGAGTCGAAGGGTACAAGGCATTGTGTGCTGCCCTTGAGAAGTCACAGCCATTTATCAAGGAACGACTTGATGCTACTTCAACTGAAGAAGGTCTGTATGTGTAAAAGTTTCGTGTGACTTAAACACACACACACACCACTCTCACACATACGTGTATATCTATATGTAAACACTTAACATGGTAAACAAAGGGCTTGTTTATAAACGACTTACGGCTGCGCTATTTACTGGGGTTGAAGTATCGTATTCAGATCGTCCTCTGATAATAACGTGTCAGTTCAAATAGTATAACAGTACATTGCAGACAACCAGAATTATATATTACAATATTTAGAGGCACTGTCTCATTTGTGGGGAAATGCTTTGAGACTAGACAGTCAGTTACGTCATAATCTAAGGGGGATAACACTCACCTGTTTAGCTCGGAAAGCAGAGACCCCATGATGTCATAACATTTCAAGGCTTTTAATGTGTGTTCTACTTTCAGTGTGACAAAATTGAGCGTATATTTTCAATCATCGATATTGCCCGGTTCTTAAATTCCGATATGAAAACAATGCGATTTCTTCGTGCACACTTAGGCTTTAACATCGTACTTGTTTCATGGACGACTTGTGATGACTACCTTTCCTGACAGGTGCAGTGCCTGGGTAACTATAAGTCTTCAAGATTGTGCGACATGATGGGACGCCATGAATATCATACATTTCAGGTCACTCAGATCTTATCTATGTGAACAAGGACAAGCTTGAGGCTCAGCACAAAAGGGAACTTGCTGAAAAAGATACAAAAATAGCAGCACTCCATACTGTGAGTTTTTAAAATGAAGAACGGCCTTGTCAGCTTATCACATGACAAGGCAAGTAGACAAAGCATTATTAATATCCAGATTTTAATCCTTCAAATTTGGAAGGTCATACATGTTTAGAGGTCTCACCTTGGTCAGTGTGTCAGGTAACATCACACTGTACACGTGAAACAGTTAAACCAGGATAATTTCAGGATATGTAACTGGCAGAAAACGTCACAAATTGCTCTATCTAGACGTGTGTACTGGAATGTCTACGTATTTAAGGGTCATTAATATTTGGTTTTCAGGAAATAGAAGGACTTCAGGAACAATTTAAGGAGAAAGACAAGGCCAACGCAGACCTGAACGGAACAATTGAAAAGGAAAGAGCTGAACACATATCGCAGATTGAAAAGAAGAATGTGGAAGTTGAAGCTCGTAAGATGACAATAGCAAATTATAGTCAGTACTTGCCTATGTATACGTCTCTGTGTGTGCAGACGCGCGCGCGCGCGCGTGTGTGTATGTGTGTGAGAGAGAGAGAAAGTGTGTGTGTGTGTGTGTGTGTGTGTGTGTGTGTGTGTGTGTGTGTGTGTGTGTGGTTATGGGGCGAAAAAATTACTGTCAAATAAACTTGCTGAAGTCGTGATTTATTATCTCTGCATTTGTCTCTCTTCAGTGAAAATAGAATTATCCAAGGCCGATGCTTATATACAACAAACTGAAGCAGACTGTGAGAAAGTGAAAAAGGTGAGTATTTGAAAGTAATCACTTGCAGCGCATACGAAATAGAAACAAACTGGCACCTGTCACATCATGACATGTTGTAGTGATGACTATTGCAACATGCGTGAAGAAAGAAAACGTGATAATATATTTTTCTATACTTTGAAAGTGAGGAACAACTTCTTAAATACAACAGCAAAAGAACAAACATGATTCATAGAGGATGTGTTTAGACGAAGAGATAAATGTCGTTACAGAAACTACAAGAAGAACAGGAGGCATACGATGCTCTAGTGGGTGTTCCAAGGTCACAGTCTCCACACTGGGTGGACAATACAGAGCAAGTTCAACATGGAGGTACAGTGGGTGGAGGTACATTGAGTGGAGGGACAATCTGTCTTTCAAGCTAAAACAGTTATCTCAAAGATTAACACAAGCTTGAATATATAACCCTATATCCGTTCTATTTAATTTTACCTCTGCTGTATTACGTTTCTGCCATCAGGTTCTGAGGAGAGAGTGTGCCAATTTTCAACTCAGTCCTGTTGTGATGAGAGTCAGCTTCGTCTTCTTCCATGCCTTCATTCTGCCTGCAAGCCATGCCTTGATCACCAAGCTACACAGGCGGAAGAGAACTGCATACACTGTCCTTCCTGTGGTCGTGACTTCACCATGGAGCAGACAACAGTAGATCATGTCAGACGGAATGAAGCCGCCTATAAACTCAACGCTGATGGTGAGATGAAATGCAACTACATCGAAGGGGATCATGATGCTAAGGCTGTAGTGTACTGTCACGAATGTGATGACAAGCTCTGTTCCGACTGTCATAAACACCACGACACGCCAAAACGGAATCGAAATCACAGAGTGAGTGAGATTGACGAGTCAACGAATATCCCTATGAATCAGTGGTTGAAGGAGGCTAGTTGCAGAGACCACCCTGACAACAAACTGCAGCTGTATGACCACACGTGTAAGAAGGCAATATGTCGTGTATGTGAACTTGGGGCCCACAACAAGCACAAGAATGAAGACTTGAATCAGGCCTATGACGTAGCGAAGGGTAAGCTGGAGGAGCATGTAAAGAAGCAGCATCATAAACTGAAAGACGTCGCCAGCAGCATGAAAATTGTCACAAGTCACCAAACTGAACTGGGAACAACACAGAGAAGACTGGAACAAGCTGCAACTAACGTCTTCAAAAGTGTTGCTGCAAAATTCCTTCATCGACAGAGACAACTCATGGAGGAAATTCAAGAGAGTCTACAATCCCCATACAAACTGGTTGAAGAGAAACTGGACATTTTACATGACGTCCATACTTCAATAGTATCAGCGATAGACTACACACAGAGAACTTTTGAATCTACAAGACGAGAGGAGCTCATTACTCTCACAGATGTACTGATGACAAAATGTGATGAAAATTTGAAGATGAAGCTCCCGGAAGATGCCAGACAAGATACGAATATCCTTCTTACCTTTCAAGGTCAGAAAGCTCTCACGGAACTCATCGATACATTTGGTGGACTTGTCTCCAGTCTAAACGTGGATGACATACCAGATAAACAAGCTACCATACAGGGTAACTAGACTTTTCGAAACATGTAACACACAAAGCACTTTTCCTTTTCTTAAGAAGTCTCTTTAAAAATTCTGCTAAGAGTTTATTATATACAGATAAAATATAACTGGAAATCGAAAACATTTACCATATTCCTCGTATGAGTTACATATTTAATTGAATCGTGTAAGTTCCTTTTGTAATGATAATCTCTTCAAATCTATTCTATTTGTGGTGCCCTTTAGCCTCTGCAACAATATGTGTGTATCGTGTGTACCACACAATGATGACATAGTTTGAAACCACATCCTGTGGCTTTCATCAAATGGTATGAGGTATTATATAACTTGACGAAATTCTAATCAACCTGTGCTTGTATTTTTCTCTTCAGATCTCCAAAAATGGAATATGCAATTGACCGTAAAAGAGGAAGACACCAGGAAGGTAATGTACTGCTTTTTTAAAAAGAATATATCTAAGACACTGATGAAAGTGGTTACTGAGGAAGTGTTTTAAAGGCTCTTAACACTGAGCACATTTATGATTTGTATTGTGAGACACATTCAATATACACAGCTACTGTGTAAGTCGAAGGTTATATTCTGATATTTATGATGTAAGCATCGTTGTTTCAGGTACATGAAGGGCGGTGGCATCAGCTCGGGGAGATCATTCATCACATCACAGGTACAAGATAATAAAAGCAGATCAAATGTCGAATGAACCACATCATCTTTCTACTACCATTTGAAATATAAGAGCAGTCGTTGATATAAAAATGAGAACTAATGAGACGTTATTGACTTTAAGTTTCGAAATTCAGTTCAAATATTTGTTTCAGCAGGAACCGTCCCCCTGATATCTGGATCACAAAGACTCCGACCTGAACTGCTGGCGTCACATGAAGTCGCATCTGAACAGCTGGCGTCACAGGAAGTCGCATCTGAACAGCTGGCGTCACATGAAGTCGCACCTGAACCGCTGACATCACAGGACGTTTTTGAAGCTGCTAAACATGTACGCTGAATGTCATACAAATGTCTCTAAATCAGAATATAAGCTCCATATTATAAATGAAGTGCGATTCAGTTGAAAGTCTTCTTTTCCATTTAGATTTACACATATCACTAATACAATGTGACGATCTTTCATTGTTCATTTTCAGTTCATAATCGGAGCAATCATCCCTTCAGAGTCACCTGAGCGTGGTCTATACCTGAAAGGTTTGTACATGGGGATTTGTTGTTTAGTTGTTGGAATCTTCTCCTAGTTAAAGTTACAGCTACTCAGAAGTTTCGTAGGATGTCCTCAGTTAATTCCATTGACCGATAACAGATGCTCTATAACTGTTATTTCTAATTGGAATTATTTCGACTTTGGAATTATCACGCATTATTACGTTGGTTATCACGCAGTTAAAAGCTTACTCTGACATGTAACAGTGTAGCATGTACTCAGAATGACTTTTGTGTTATTCGGGATGCATGTAACAATTTAACATCTCTGGCGTCTCCCTTCTGACGTGTGAGATAATCTCAAAAGGAACAGACTTGAAAACATTGAATAAAACAGTAAATGTAGTTCACTGCACTGTAAAAGACAATATGAGCTGTGCAGTTCACTTAATTTTGTTTTTCCTAATTTTCTGTTTTGACATGGGTCATGTGATCCTAACACAACAATGTTTCAAACGACGATAATCAAAACTCGCTGACTCGCTAACACTTACACTAAGGAGTATATGTGATATCAGTCTAAAGAAACAAAGCCATGGGTTACTATGGAAACTATGTTTCAGGGTATTCAGGCACGATGCACATCATCAGCGGGAAAAGTGGTTCTAGAGTCATTACCTGTAAGTAAACTCTATTCTTTTATGCAGTTATTTTTGTGGGTTTTTTTGTGGCGAATTCTAGGCGAGTCAGTATTGTTCATCTGATGGGGACCACAGCATATAAAACATCAACCGTGGTCTTATTTGGAGTTACTATGTATTTGTAGTTCGTGTCATCAGCACTGACTTCACAATTATCACACTGCCAAGATGAAGATGGAACGCTGCTGCAAATGTACATGCTTAAGTTAAGGAACGTTCACTTCGATTTAGACTACTCCCAATTTGACTGCCCGTCCAATACACAAACTGTTCCAGTCATATGGTTTTTAATTACTAGCTCACCCCCCTCCATCAGGTAGACTATTCCACCATAATAATAAATGTATAAAGACAATTACAACTGTACTAGATTCATGCAATATTTATTCAGCTAATTGCATAACAATGTATACTTCAACTACTAAAACATATGAATATGATCCCAACAATAGGAGGTAATCATGTCTTCATGACAATAACATGTCCAGCTACGTTAGGTCAAAGTGGAAGAGTTCAAGGGAATTTACAAACACTGTTTTGCCAAACAACCTGTAGCCTGTATCCCTATAATGTACAATTCATTCTCATTGATCAGTTTAAGCAGCTATGGTGTCGCTCTGCTGCTGACTTTTCGAAGGGTTATTACTGTATAAGGTATAAGCATTCACTATTTTCAGAACCTTATTTGTTACAATTACCTTAGTACTATAGACGCACGTTTAGTATATTTAGAAGAGATCTGATTGCGTGGAATGCATTACCCTCCAGTGAGACCCAAGCCGTTGTATTTTTTTAATTATTATTTTTTTCTTTAATGCCGCACTCAGCAATATTCCAGCTATATGACTGTCGTCTGTAAACAATCAATTCTGGACCAGTGATCAACAGCATGAAAATCAATTGAGGCAAATGAGATACAATGGCATATGTCCACCAAGTCAGCGAGGCTAACCATCCGATCCCGTAAGTCGCCTCTTACTGAAGATCAATTCTAACCCGGATCGACACGGATACCCAAGCCCTTTTACTATTCAGTTCGACATGTATGGTGGCGTTGACAATTGTTATGCTTTATGCATTCTGCATACATTCAGGTAGCACAAGAACTGTGTGTCTCCAATGTGATCCAAGCCGTTGTTCTATCCAGGTACATTAACATCTAGGCCGATCTGTGACATTAATGAAAAGGGTTACATGGAATCGGTTCAGGATGGCCCAAAATTTCATTATTCAATAGATCTAAACATATACGAAGCACTGTCCCGTATGAAAAACGTTAGAGAATAAGTAAATGTCGACTGGCTATATTTCGATCAACAAGATGATAGTATGTTTCAACATAGTTCAAATCATCCTTAAACGTCAGGTGGGATTATTGTGGATTATTGTTAGAATGGGTGTATTTCAAATTTCTTAAGAATAATAACAACGAAGCGGTTTAATACATACGCACTTCGTTTACAAATATCTGTCCCCCTCGAGACACGACACAACCATCCCACACAGCGAGTGTCATGAAACTGTGTTCAGTGATTGAAGCGGACGTAGAAGTTACCGGTTCACGTTCTGTCTGTTGAACACTTAAATGTAGAAATATCGTCAAACAGCAATACTACCTGTCTCACTCTTTACTATGCTGTATAACATGGGGTTAAAATACCCATGATGACAGTTTTATTGTGATAGGATGCTGAAATATTTCCGTAATAAACTGTCGTGGTGTCTTTTTCTGATTGCAGTCACAGCAAACAAAGTCAAATGTAACTTTGTAAAAAGTATGTCAGACAGAGTTTATGTGTTTACCAATGCATATAGAAATGTATGACAAACAGTTTAAATACCCATCTGGGTAGTATCATGTCGTTATTATTACTATCTAGGGCACGAGTATCGTTGTATTTACAGACGGACGAAAATGGCAGCCGATCATTTAGTGCGCTGGTTTGGAATCACCAAGACGGGACAAATAATACAATGATGTATTGTAGGAAATACAGTTGATAAACTCAATAAAATAACAATTCTTTATTTCCAGGTCCTAAACTCCAACTGGACGCTGGTCGAGCCAACACAGACAGGTGCCATGTTACTACAGACGGTGATCTAGTCAACTCGCGGCCAGCCACACAAAACACGGACAGTGGCAGGCTACAGAGATTGTTCGGCACGTGTAGCTCCACCCCCATCCCCCTTCCTCCACCCCCTTCTAGTGTCACCCCTGTCCTCCACACAACACGATACTGGGAGACCCACACCAGGGTGGGTGAGGTGGGTGGAGTGATGGGTTTTGTCCTGGAGGTAGGTGTGGGGGAGGAGAGCCAGGTAGACAGTGGGTGGTATGTTTGTCTACAGCGCCGCTCCTGGTGTGTCAGTGTAGAGAGCTGTGCCACACACCGGGGGAGTGTCTGTACCAGGGTGAATCTGGCGGGGGAGATGGGGAAGTGTTACAGAAACACAATGTCTGACACAATCGGCACACAGGCCACCCTCCACTATGGCGTTGTGTTGGATGTCGGGAGGGGTAGAATAGGATTTATTGACGTAGACAGGTCGGTTGTTTTAGGGAAAGTTGATGTGAAGTTCAAGGAGGATCTTCTCCCTGTGTTTGCTGTCGATCCGATGGGTCGCTACACAATAAATATGAAGGTGGTCAGTGGGGAGGAGATCCTCATGTCTGACATCAAGAAATCACTCATTAATGAAGTCCTGGCCTAGGAAATAAACTACACATGACCCAGTGTAAACTTGTAAATATCACACATCTATTTTATCAGACAAATTTAATACAACAGAACTGAAAGAAGCGGACATAGAAGTTACCTGTTCATGTGTTGTATGTTGTGTACAACAATGTGACAAGGTTAGCTAAATGTGTCGGTTTTCTACATCACAGTTTTCATTTGTGTACTAGAAGCATTTTACATCCACACATGAGTATTGTTATTATTATTATTATGTAATAACTGATCAGTTTATGAAACATTTCATACATTTCTGGGACATGTCACAACTAAAAACTGAGTTGATGATTGAGTAAAAATTGTTTCAAATCACGAATATCTTGACATATTTTGTTTCTACTCTGTGAAATAAAATAGTTTAAATACCCATATGTAGAGGCTAGAGATTGAAATATAATATTTGTAGCTGTAAAATAGACATGTCAATGTCAGTTCAGTTAGACAATGAAAGTGATTAAAGCGGACATATAATGTCCCAGTTTAAATGTGCCATGGTACTTGTGTCAGGAGAGAAATGTAGACGAAACTGCCTGTTTCTTTATTCTAATCAGTCCTGTTGTGTTTGGAAATAACTTCAATTCCCCACAGGCGTTTTGCTTTGTGTTTTTTCTTGGTCAATGTATCCACACAAATAATGTCTAATGTACAATCCTGCCATGCCACTGAGTTGATTGCAACATGGACCCCGATGTACATTTACATGTGTGTATAAAATTGAAAACTGAAAGTTGTGTGTGACTTACTGTCGTGAAACACTGGGTCTACCTCTGACAATGGGGTGTGTAGAGATGGATGCCACTCTTAGAGTTCCACACCAATTTTAGAATACCAGGCTTTATTTTTGGTCAGTATGACCTGAGTTGATAACCAATACCTGTAGTCCAACCCTGTTGTGTTTGACTCACATCTGTCTACTCCCCCAGTAAATTACAAAGGTTTAACTAGGGGATAAATTATCACCAGAATCCCGCTTAGAGAACTGTTTGTATTCAACTACTTTGCGATGTCAAGTCGACTGGTTGACTTATCTGATAAATGCATGCATTGACTTTCTATGTTTCTTATTGTATGTATATGATAACATGTCTGATGTTCATTGTGTTAGATATGCCAGGTGTCAGCTGATGTTATTATTCGCATTGGAATCAATACTGGCATCAATCCTGTCAGGTTTTGCTGTTTACCGTGCACAGAAAACTGCCCACCTGAACAATTCAGGTTTAAATTTGCTTTATCGATTAGGTTTTGGTGTTGCCTGAATTATGTAAACTAGGTGATTCAAATAGATTTTATTTAAATTCACTGAGAAGCTAGATAATACTGTTCTTTGTAGGACAGTAGTGATCTTTAGATTCTTTTTAATGTGGGTATATCTATCAAAACATCTAGGCGGACCTGGGAGAAATATATTCTTTTTGCCGCATCGATTTAGTTTTGGTGTTGCCTGCCTTTAGTTTTATGCCAACAGTAGGTGACCCGGAAGTAAAACTGTTGAGAGGTTCAGTAACAGTTCTTTCTGGGACTACGTAGGATCTATATATTTCATTTGATTGTCATTTATATATCTAAGCAAAATCTAAACTTACCTGATACAAAATATAATGTATTAAACAAAGATTTCCAATATAGAGGGCTGCTAACTAAGTTTAGGGGTGGCAGTAGTAATCGAGGTATATAGTTAGTTCCCTGCAGTTTTACCACTTACACTGATGAAGTTATTCTATGCAATCACAATGACGCTATTGCAAATGACGTTCATGTCGTGTATCATAAAATGTGAATGAATTAATGACACTTTAAACATGGCCATTAATGTTCACTTAAGACGTTTCCGCATATCTCCAGATGTTAATGTAATTGCAAATTGTAACCTGTTCTGTAACGTGTATTTTCTTCCTGTATGTTACTGTAACTGCCACTTCCTTTTCCTATGCAAGCTGCAAACAAACAGACTTTGTACGATGGGTCTTGAGGCCTGGATACAAAATAAAAGATCATCTGTCTGTCTGTGTCTCTGTCTGTCATTATTGTATCTTGTTAAAATATACCAGTCAGAATAATCTTATGCAGTTGGATGCATAATTATAACTATGACAAACTCATGATGTCCGTTATTATTCCCCGCAACGCGTTTTGTGAGGGTATTAAAATGGACTCCGTTTGTCCGTCCGTCCGTCCGTGCACATTTGTCTTTCCCGGAGTAGAACTTTACAACCGTTCAATGTTTCTTCATCACACTTGGCACATAGATTGGTCTGGTGGTGTACTGGTGCCCATTGGCAGTTTTGGATTTCACAAAAAAATATGTTTTGCGTTTCCATAGCAAGAGGTTTGACTTCGACTGAAATTGGTGATCGTGCTCTCTCTCGGTTCAGACCTTCAAAACCTTTCAGTACTCTCCATTCAATTTGTAATATAGTCACTGACTAGGTCGACACCTCTCACTGTAACCCAGCTGCGTAGATCGAGGCTGATGTTGTTGATCACTAAATTGTTTGGTCCAAATTCGATTATATACAGACGGCTGCCACTTTAATACATGAAGTAGTGGGTCAGTCTACAGTACACACTTACATACATGACGAAGTGGGTCAGTCCACAGAACACTAGCATACAGGGCGTACTGGGTCAGTTTACAGTACACTAACATACAGGGCGTACTGGGTCAGTCTACAGTACACACTTACATGCATGACGTAGTGGGAGAGGCTTCAGTACACACTTACATGCATGACGTAGTGGGTCAGTCTACAGTACACACTTACATACATAACGTAGTGGATCAGTCTACAGTACACACTTACGTACATGACGTAGTGGATCAGTCTACAGTACACACTTACATACATGACGTAGTGGGTCAGTCTACAGTTAGACTTATATACATGACGTAGTGGGTCAGTATACAGTACACACTTACATACATGACGAAGAAGGTCAATCTACAGTACACACTTGCATGCATCACGTAGTGGGTCAGTCAATAGGACACACTTACATGGATGACGTAGTGGGTCAGTCTACTGTACACACATACATGACGTAGTGGGTCAGTCTACAGTACACACTTACATACATAACGTGGTGGATCAGTCTACAGTACACACTTACATACATGACGTAATGGATCAGTCCACAGTACACACTTACATACATAACGTAGTGGATCAGTCTACAGTACACACTTACGTACATGACGTAGTGGATCAGTCTACAGTACACACTTACATACATGACGTAGTGGGTCAGTCTACAGTTAGACTTATATACATGACGTAGTGGGTCAGTCTACAGTACACACTTACATACATGACGAAGAAGGTCAATCTACAGTACACACTTGCATGCATCACGTAGTGGGTCAGTCAATAGGACACACTTACATGGATGACGTAGTGGGTCAGTCTACTGTACACACATACATGACGTAGTGGGTCAGTCTACAGTACACACTTACATACATAACGTGGTGGATCAGTCTACAGTACACACTTTCGTACATGACGTAGTGGATCAGTCTACAGTACACACTTACATACATGACGTAGTGGGTCAGTCTACAGTTAGACTTATATACAAGACGTAGTGGGTCAGTCTACAGTACACACTTACATACATGACGAAGAAGGTCAATCTACAGTACACACTTGCATGCATCACGTAGTGGGTCAGTCTATAGGACACACTTACATGCATGACGTAGTGGGTCAGTCTACTGTACATACTTACATACATGTCGAAGTAGGTCAGTCTACAGGACACACATTATATACATGACGTAGTGGGTCAGTCTACAGTACACGCTTACATACATGACGTAGTGGGCCAGTCTACAGTACACACTTACATACATGACGTAGCGGGTCAGCCTACAGTACACACTTACATACATGATGTAGTGGGTCAGTCTACAGTACACACTTACATACATGACGTGGTGGGTCAGTCTACAGTATATACTTACATACATGACGTAGTGGATCAGTCTACAGTACACACTTACATACATGACGTGGTGGGTCAGTCTACAGTATATACTTACATACATGACGTAGTGGGTCAGTCTACAGTACACACTCACATACATGGCGTAGTGGGTCAGTCTACAGTATACACTTACATACATGACGTAGTGGGTCAGTCTACAGTACACACTTACATACATGACGTAGTGGGTCAGTCAACAGTACACACTTACATACATGACGTAGTGGGTCAGTCTACAGTACACACTTACATACATGACGTAGTGGGTCAGTCTACAGTATATACTTACATACATGACGTAGTCGGTCAGTCTACAGTACACACTTACATACATGACGTTGTGGGTCAGTCTACACTACACACTTACATACATGACGTTGTGGGTCAGTCTACAGTACACACTTACAAACTTGACGTAGTGGGTCAGTCTACAGGACACACATACATCATCTAGTCTGTCAGTCTACGGTACACACTTACATACATGACGTAGTGTGTCAGTCTACAGTACACAATAACATACATGACGTAGTGGGTCAGTCTACAGTACACACTTACATACATGACGAAGAAGGTCAGTGTACAATACACATATACATGACGTAGTGGGTCAGTCTACAGTACACACTTACATACATGACGTATTGGGTCAGTCTACAGTACACACTTACATATGTGACGAAGTAGGTCAGTCTACAGTACACATTTACATGACGTAGTGGGTCAGTCTACACTACACACAAGTAAGTGTATGCTGTAGACTGACCCACTACGTCATGTATGTAAGTGTGTACAGGGAGATAGCCCGTACGTGTATACCACTTATGTTTAACCAACCCACACGGCGTTCCATCCTGTCAGTCTACCTCCTGATACACATTGTGTGTCACTTCCTAGTCGCTTTACGATATACAAAAATGTCTATACACATTTGTTGGAGGCGACGTCTCGGTAACCTTGTGTTTATAGATTTGATTCACAAGTTCCGATATGTTAAGCATTTCTGTCATTTGTTAATATTCCTCAGTATTTACAAAGCTGCATAAAACTCCACGTATTAATGCAACATGTACCAAGTAAATGTACATCCAATCACCTCACTCAGGGGACTAAAGTATACACCTCGGTATTCCCTTATTACAAAGCTTCCTTGTGTCTGTGGTTTTTCTGTTTAAAGATGTTCTATGCGACACAGCGTTCCTGCTGTGTGACACTGGTCTGTCAATAATGGAGTCTGGACCAGTCAATCCAGTGACTGGCTTTTCCAGCATCCATCACAGCACTCGGTATATGTTGGCCACACTATCCCGTTAGCCGCCTCTTTGAACAGGGAGTAAGGATGGTTTTACGCCGCTTTTAGCAATATTCCAGCAATGTCACGGCGGGAACACCAGAAATGATCGCCACGTATTGTACCCATTTTGGGAATCGAGCCCGGGTCGTCGACGTTACGAAGCGAACGCGTTACCCACTAGGCTACCCCACCGCCCTCAAAGAGTAAAAAGAAAGGTATGACACTTTATTGATGACACCTTTTGCAGTATACTACGAAGCGACGTTTCTCTATAGAAACGGGGGACGGGGGAAAAAGTCGAGATGGCTATCGTATCCTTTATGTGCGTGCAGGTGGAATAGTAACAGCTTATGGATTTCAGTACAGTTAAGCTGTAGCTGATAAACAAAAGTTTCCAGCTTCTAGAACCACCTCGCCGACACAACTCTGACCTCGTAGTCGCAGGAAGCTCTTGCAAAAGCCCACGTATTGCCTTGTCTGATAGCGTGACTTGCTACTACCGAGCAACAGGTTTCCAGCCTCTATGACAACTTCGCCAGAACACAACCCTGACCTCCTTGGTTTCAGTCAAAGGAGGTCCTTGCCTGACTGCTAAAGTAAACGTTATTACCTTTGGTTGACCGGTGGTTATACGTTGACTGATTTTTGTTGACCACAGTTGCCGATGCCTACACGGTGCAGAATGCCAGACCATCAACATTGTTTCTTTACTGTGGTAAAAGTGAGGCAGGTTATTCAGCCTTGTGCTCGAGCAAAATTAATGTAAAATGTTAAATACGCACTCATGAGGAATATTTATCTTGTCCTTCCAAGTTCAGAATTAGATCAATGTTAAGCAGGTTATTGTGTGTTTGAGCACAGACAATCAATTTGACCTTATGGGTGGTCACTATTTTGTCATCATTTGGACTACCTTTATATGATGATAACGTACATTGAAGTATACAGGTTGATAGCATCCAGTAAAGTATACAGACTGATAACGTACAGTAAAGTATAGAGGCTGATAAAGTACAGTAAAGTATATAGCACTGTAAAGTATACGGGCTGTTTACGTACATTACAGTATAGAGGCTGATATCGCTCATAACAGTAAAGTATACATTCCAGTAAAGTATACGGGCTGATAACGTACAGTACAGTATAGACATGATAACGTACAGTAAAGTATAGAAGCTGGTAAAGTACAGCAAAGTATACAGCACTTAAGTATACGGGCTGATAATGTACAGTAAAGTATAGAGGCTGATAACATACAGTTAAGTATACGGGCTGATAACGTACAGTAAAGCACACAGCACAGTAAAGTATATGGGCTGATAACGTACAGTAAAGTATACAGCACAGTAAAGTATACAGCACTGTAAAGTAAACTGACTGATAACATACAATAAAGTATACAGCACAGTTAAGTATACCGGCTGATAACGCCTAGTACAGTATACAGCACAGTAAAGTATACGGGCTAATAACATACAGTAAAGTATACAGCACCGTAAAGTATAGAGGCTGATAACGTAAAGTACAATATAGAGGCTGCTAACGTACAGTAAAGTACAGAATAAGGGTAACGCTATTTTTCAGGGCATTATCATTTGCAGAAGCCCGAGGTCAGTTGAAAAGACCGAGGGCTTCAGGAAATGATAATGCCTTGAAAAATAGCGATACCGTTATTATAGTTGAAATGGATAGAATGTTTAATAAAATAAAAATCAACGGTATCGGT